AAAACAAAATTCTTCCCTTCTTTGTTTAACTGCTGTCCCGTTGGTCACAGAGGCTCAGTTGTAATAAAACAACATTTAAAAGTTAGGCATTTTGTGTTAAGTGTGATAGCATTCCGAAGGTCACTCACACTGCCTGTGTGTACATTTAATAAATCACGTGATCTACGAGTACGTCCCATGTATCATGGCGTTATTTAGGGGGTGGATATGTACGATTTGCAGAGCTAGTGGATAACTATGGCGCTCCCGATGCGGTCTCTAATTCTCATAGGAATGATGAAAACTTGAAAACACATTCTGAGCTGGTTATTCAGAATTTGTTGCAGCTACAGCACTTTTTAAAAGCCGCGGAATTTTATGACAATGGACAATAACAACACCGGCTACTTTGGGGGCGTTGCAAATGGAGTGATCAGCACTGATGTCAATACAAACTACGTCCATCATGTTCCCGTGGAAAATCGCATAGATGGAGGCGACTCATCCGAACCGGGTCCGTCAGACATCTGTATACGAGACAGAATAGTGACTTACGATACGGATACACAGGCCGTTGATATCGATGTGGTTGCTGCAGACGATAGAACGATTAAAACGCCGATAACAGAATTGGTAAGATATCGATCACATTCCCGTTAAATTAAATTATTTCCAAATAAATATACATATATGATTAGCTGTCGACTATTTTTCATCTGCGTTGTTTTGTTATAATTCCAGGATGATTTCGGTGTGCAGAGTTTATTTGTGGCTATTAAATGTTGCCGTTTTTATTGATTATATCTCTGTCTGATTTGTATTCATGGTTTTATTCTAAATTCCCCAAAAGGCTTACCCGCGAGTTTCCGTTACCCCATTACTTACATTTTAAATATTATACACAAATCACGTAAAATACTATTGATTTTATATCTGGACACGTTCTACTGGTTTTATTCAAGTTGTTTTTGATAATTAATACCAGTATATGTGTCTGTTTGGACCGGGGCTGCAAACCAACCATACTTATGTACTACGGCGTACTGGCATAGAACTCCGATAACATTCTCTCCTTGGTCAGAGGTCAACCTTAGTATGCAAATAACTATAAATTGCGCTGTTGATATTGTCCATGTGTGTGTGTTTGCATAGTTCAAACGAAATTCAAAAACAGTAGCAAATACACTTCGACAAATTGTTAAAACGAGGATATAAATATATACACTCCCATATTTTATTTTCTTAAAAAAAAAAACCACAAAATAAACAAGATATTGCTTGCAAATCAGTCATATAATGCTGCAAATCTGCAAAAACACCTGCCTCCAAATTCAGAGTAGATTGCTGGTATTGAGTGATTACAATTTTAATACAACCTATATGGTTATGTTCAAATGCCAAAATCAAAATTTTTCACTATTTACAACATAAACCCTGCATAATGATTACCACATCTCATATTTATTTCGACAAAGACCTGTAATCAATGATTACCTTGTGTCCATCATTTGATCCAAAATTGTAAAAATATTATTGAAACACACAGTGCTCAAGGATAAATATGTAATAATTATTAGTTTTCTCTTTAGGATATATTTTTAGCCGGTATTTTAGTGACTGATGCCATAAATGCCAGACATGGGTATTTTAAACATGGTGAAAACGAATTGAGGTATGTACATGTGATATATGACATATATACAACATTTGCTCCATGTCTGTCATTTATATACTTGAATGCATTACTAATAAAGCTTATATTACACGCTTTTGAAAATATTTGCCCAATCAATATATTATGTGCCGCCTATTTAGGTACTCTGATTTGTGTACACTCATGAAATGAGGAGTCACTGGCTCATCACCTAGGGATGTTTCATTGTTATACACAGGAAGGTATATTCATTGTTCTGAGGGGGTATGTCAATAGAACTGATAGTGAATAATCACACAATGTGCTGACAGAAGTCAAGGTTATAATCTATTCATGTATCTATTATTTTTAATATCATCATAAATGTGACAAACTTTATTATTTTTTTTCTCTCATTATAATATATTTTATTCATTCATACCATTGGCCATAGGCCATAATGTACACACTTAAATATAACACAAATAAATAAATAAATAAATAAATAAATAAATAAATAAATAAATAAATAAATAAATAAATAAATAAATAAATAAATAAATAAATAAATAAATAAATAAATAAATAAATAAATAAATAAATAAATAAATAAATAAATAAATAAATAAATAAATAAATAAATAAATCGTTTGACAAGAATAACCACTACTACTACTTGTCTGAATTTCTTCTCTCATTTAGATCTTGACTATTCTACAAAGTA